GAAGTATAAATTAATAACTTTAATGTTTTTACTGAAGTGTACTGTAAACTGTACTAATTATTCTGTTTATATGTGGAGGAACAGGGTCCATGCTAATACTAATTAGCTAGATAATTCATTAGTGAATCAATTTAAAGTAAGTAAATTAATGCATTTTCCCTGAACTTGTTGTACGTTCATTGAAATTCATGGGACCTAGTTGCAAATGGTTCCTTTAAGCTCCCAAAAAAAGTAACAGGAAAGATCTCTAATTCACTGCAAATTATATGAGGTAGCCAAAAAAAAATCAATAAAACAAGGATGCCATTAATCATGGTGGCACCAGTCTCAGAAGCCATGCTGGGCACTGAAATTTGTATTGCCATGGCCCTTTCACTGGGGTGATCAGACAGACCAAGACATGTTAACATTGCATTCTGAATACCAATGAGGTTGTAATACAATACTTGAAAGGAATGTCATTGGCTTTACTATATAGAAACATTGTAGTGAGGAGCAGCTTGGGCATTTTATTGTTTTGCACTTGTTTTGACTAAAATAAAACTATTTTGTACTATAGAATCCATTGATGATGCTTAATTGAAATTGTATTAATTTTTACAGATTTAAAGTGATACTAAATAATAATAATAATCAAATCTAAAAACTTTTTTCTTTAGACAAGCTTTCACTTAATTGTTCTTTTTTTCCTTTGTTTAATACTGTGTATTTCTTGTGTTTTCTTTTAGAAGCGCTTTGAGAAGCTACCTTTAAAGGCGCTAAATAAAATAAAGTTTATTATTATTATTATTACTACTAAAGGAAAAAAAATGTTATACTTACCTGCCTTTAGAACCACTTTAAATAAAATTAGTGGAATAAAAAATAATGTTTAACTGAGCTCATGTTAATGCAATGTGGCTGCCAATGGCATGTTGTATAGCTATACAGTTCACAAATGCCAGGTCAACTAATTTTTTTATGTATTTATTTTAATAACTTGCATAGTACTGACATACTTTACAGAGGCTGTGGGACCATTCATGTGTGTCCCTGCTGCAGAGCTGCTTACAGACTAAGAGCCGGTTCACACCATGCCCACACAGTGCATTCCTGTGCGATTCACATGCAGTTCTGTTTGGAATGATTTCAGCCCATTTATTCTTTCCTCATAGCTGAGCTCCTCCATGCCTTGTATCAGTTTGGTTGCCCTTCTCTGTACTTTCTCCAGTTCCCCAATGTTCTTTTTGTGAATTGGTGCTCAAAACTGAACTGCATATTCCAGATGAGGTCTTACTAATGATTTGTACCGGGGTAATATGATATCTCTCTCTGGAGTCTATACCTCTTTTAATACAAGAGAGGATTTTGCTCGCTTTAGAAACGTAGCTTGGCATTGCATGCTATTATTAAGCTTTGTGATCTACCAGAACTCCCAGATCCTTCTCCACCATTGATTCCCCCATTTGTACTCCCCCTAGTATGTATGATGTATGCATATTCTTAGCCCCCAAGTGCATAACCTTACATTTATCAACATTAAAGCTCATTTGCCACATAGTTGCCCAATTAAACAGTGCATTGAGGTCGGCTTGTAAATTGGAGACATCCTGTAAGGACGTTATTTAACTGCACAGCTTGGTGTCATCTGCAAAGACTGAAATGGGATTTTTAATCCCAGACCCTGTATCATTTATATATATATATTAAAAAGTAAGGGTCCTAACCCTTTTGTGTGTTGTTGCCTCCAGCTTTGTTCCTGTTTCTTGAAAGCTACCATTTTGCTGAAACCCCGAGCCCCTGAGCAGCAGTGAATCTTTAGGCTGTCAGCAGATCGGCCTCTACATTTTTGGCACTGTGCGGAAAAATAGAGAGCAACTGAGCATGTGCAGAGCAGGGTGAGACAGTGTATTACTGAATTTTAACAAGTATAGACACTTATTTTTAATGTTTCCCATCGTAATACAAATGTATGCAAAAGGGGCCAGCATGAAGTCTTCTAGCACGATTTCCACTGTATGAAAAACGTGTGTAGTCACAGTGTGAACCTAGCCTAAAAGTGGATCTCCAGCCTAAACAATTTTCTCTGGTTTTATATAGAGTGGACTAGGGAGGATTAGAACCTCTGTCCAGCTTCTACTGCTGCCTCTGTCTACTCACGCTCTGTCCCAGTGAACACCAGAACATTTCTGTCATCTGAATGTCCTGTGTCTGGAGTGCATTGTCTGTTTATCACTTTGGAGAATCCACTGGGGATTGGTAATGGTGTCCCCAAAATGAGCTTCAGAGAGACAAAACAGGAAGTTGAGCTGACATTAATGCTGGGATGGTGAAGGGGACAGGAAGAGAGAGGCAATGCTCCTAACAAGGAGACACACAACAATGCAGCCTGAAAGAGGATGAAAACATTCCACAGGCTAGCGAAAATCAATAAAAAGAGTTTCAGCTGAAGTTACACTTTAGAGTAAATCTGTACTCACTATGGGGTTAGTAGACTATGTCTCAGATTCCACGGGAACCTTACAGTACTTGCCGTAAAGTGTCAGGACTAATTTACTGAACCTGCAGAAAGCACTGGTTTACTTTACATTTCATTTTAAAGCCTATAAATGTGGTGACTGCACTAGTTTTTTCTTAAAAAGGTTTTTTTTCTCTTTTTTTACCTGCTGATCCTGCCAGAAAACACACTTCCTGTGACATTGCTCATTAACCATACTATATCTATGAAGGAGCAGCAGCATCACCCTAGGACATGACTGCAGAACACCTCTTCTCCATAACATTGGGGTTGATTTGTGGTCTACAGAGAGAACTGGGAATAATTCAAACCAATGACAGTCAGCACAGGTAGAGTGTACAAGAAGTTATCAGCTCACAAGACTTCTGGCAGGATCAACAGTTGTTTATTTTTGCACTTATTGCACAGAAAAAACACTTTAAAAAAATATATTTAAAGTAGAACTATAGGCAAAACTTTTTGTATTTCAATGATTTTTATTAATTTATAAACATTTAAAAAAAACAGGAGCAACAAGACACATCCACTCAGGGGCCATCAGTTGTGGCAAAACCTTTTGAATTTAATTTTGGATAAAAGGAGTAAAGGAGGGTTATAACCTCCGTCAGTTTATTTCTTGCCATCTGGGTCCCATTGGGGAGATTTGGTGTCACTTCCTGTCCAATAGCCAAAACAGGAAGTGAGAAGAAAATTAAAGCATAACTTCGGGCAAAAACTTACATGTCCTTGTTGATTTTCTACCTTCACTGAATATATCATCCATCTTCTGGTTCACTCAGTAATTTCTCTGAAATAGTCTATTCTTTTTCAAATTAAACCCTTAATTCTCTTTGGTTTCCTGTCTGAAAGACCAATGGCTGCTATGCCTCCAATTTCCCCTAGTCACTGGTCTTGGCACATCCCTTCTGTAGTTCTTTCTCCAGGAAGCAGTGATGTAATTCAGCCCCACTTGCAGTGGTGGGCGGACTGAGACTCCCAGACACATTCAACATGTACAGGCCTAGTGTACCTGCCCACATTCACTACAATTCCCTCTGGTTGATGGGAACTGTAGTTTTCTTTTAATGCAGAGAGAGAGAGAGAGAGAGAGAGAGAGAGAGAGAGAGAGAGAGAGAGAGAGAGGAAATGATGTAATCCCTGCTGTTACATCTCCTCCATGGCAGAACAGATGCTGTTATCTTTTGAATTACAGAGCTGAGGTCATGAAAATTCAATTAGACTTTTATCCCCAATAGTAAGGATTTCCAAACTTTTATTAACAGTTTAATGTATTGTGTGTTTGTGTGTGTGTGGGGGGGTATATTTAAAGTAGAACTATAGGCAAAACTTTTTACATTTAATTTTGGATAAAAGGAGTAAAGGAGGGTTATAACCCCCGTCAGTTTATTTTTTGCCATCTGGGTCCCATTGGGGAGATTTGCCGTCACTTCCTGTCCCATAGCCAAAACAGGAAGTGAGAGGAAATCCCTGAAAATTAAAGCAGAACTTCAGGCAAAAACTTATTTACATGTCCTTGTTGTTGATTTCCTACCTTCACTCAATATGGCATTCATCTTCTGGTTCACTCAGTAGTTGCTCTGAAATAACCTATTCATTTTCAAATCAAACCGTTAATTCTCTTTGGTTTCCTGTTTGTAAGACTAGTGGCTGCTATGCCTCCAATTTCCCCCAGCCACTGGTCTTGGCACATCCATTCTGTAGTTCTTTCTCCAGGAAGCTGTGATATAATTCAGACCCACTTGCAGTGGTGGGTGGACTGAGACTCCCAGACACATTCAACATGTACAGGCCTAGTGTACTACTATTGTACCATATTCACTACAATTCCCTGTGGTTGATGGGAATTGTAGTTTCCTTTTACGGCAGAGAGAGAGGAGAGGATATGCTGCAATCCCTGCTGTTACACCTCCTCCATGGCAGAACATATGCTGTTATCTTTTGAATTACAGAGATGAGGTCATTAAAATTCAATTAGACCTTTCTATTCAATGGTAAGGATTTTCAAACTTTTATTAACTGTTTAGTGTCTTGTGTGTGTTTATGTGGGGGGTGTGTTAATGGGTGATTTTTTTGCCTATTCCGGAGTTCTTCTTTAAGGGAACTCCTTAGGGACCTCCAGGTCACAAGAACTAGTTTCTTGATTGGAAAAATTCCCCTCTATTACTTTTCAGGGGACAATCTGAAATTTGGGTTTTCTTTAACTTTCAACGATAATGGTAAAATGGACAAACAGGGAGGGGGAATCTCCTTAATGGGGGCAAAGACAGCAATAAAAACGTAATAGGTGTTCTAATCCATCTTCACTCTGTCCAAAATTTACAAAAAGGGATGCCTTTAGTTATTTTTGAAGGGACCAAAAGGTAGCAAATAAAAGAAGTGCATTGTTAAAGGATAAGTTCACTTTCCTAACATGTTACATGTTACACCCATATTCAGGGTGTAACCTGTAACATGCTAAAATCAGACCGGCCCCGCTTTGACAGCTAGCAGGGGATCACCCCCCAGCGCCGTGGTAGTTCACTGATTCTTCCTGTCAGTATTAATTTCGTCTGCAGGAGCCTATAAAGCATTGCACCAGAGATCAGATCAGTAGATTGCTGGTGCCATGCAGGTCTCCTGCATGGGATGTACTGTACATGCAAGCAAATGTACTGACAGATCTGCAGGAAACCAGCATGGCACCAGCAATCTACTGATAGCTTTACAAGCTCCTGCAGACAAAAATAATAAATGCACATTTTGTTACCTGCAAAAAAATGCGCAGTTATTATTTTTTTACTAAATAGGTGACCTTATCCTTTAAGGTTTATAAACACTTTATTGTAAAGTCAAGGTAAGAGTTAGAACAGAGCAAATGTTTTAGGGCTCATTCAAGCTGCAATCTGAGGCAGATAGATTCTATGCACACGCACAAACTGACTGGTCCCTGGATGCAAACTGTCTGCTTCCAGTACCAGTCATAAGGTAAAAGGAGAAGTATGGTGTCTGAGAAAAAAACAAATACACATACCCACTGGAGCACCAGGCAGAAAAGCAGGCACAGCTGGTTCTGGCTATCAGCCCCATGCTGAGAGGTGGATTCCGACAATATTGTCAGCATTCTTCCAGAGCCTGGAGAGGCTATTAGCTGAACACGGATAGTTTGCGTTTCCAGCAGGACACAAACTAACTGCAGCTAATTGACAAATTAGAATGCACAAAGAATGGCGACGTCCAGAGATGGTGTTTAGAGGTCTCTGAATGTAGCAGCCTATCCTCCCATGAGTCCTATACTATATGTGGCCCCATTCAAAACTCCTTTTCTGGTGTAGTTAAAAGGAAGTGAAACTACCCATAAAATATATGATCAATTCTGTGCCATTACAGCAAGTACATGTACTGATCATCGTGTGAAATACTTCCTTCACTGCCAATATGTACTTTATTTTGCTCTAGAGTTTTCAGTTGATTATTTCAGGACTTATTTCTGTATCTATTTTTATCTGTTTGTCTTTCACATTTTTCATCCTCTGGAAAACATAACTGGGTTATGAAAGGATGCAAAAAGCATGAATCCATTCTATGAATTTAGCCCTAAAATGATATAAAGACTTTATTACATGAACAGGTAAATTGCCTCCAAAATGTAGCGTATAGAGGAGGACATATATGAACTATACATTCTCTCTCTAGGAAGGGGTTGTTTTATGGAAGATGAAGTTAGGAGACGAGTGACCACTGTATCAGACACAGGAAGTTTGCTGTAATATCTGCAGCCTTTGATCTCCTAGAACTCCTTAGAATTATACTCCCATATTGTGATTTATGCTAAACAGACAGTAAAACTGGCTGGACAGGATGTTTGGGGATGCAATCTATTAATCTGGTAATTAGTGAAGCAGCAGTCAGCAGTCACCAGCAGGGACTTGGAAAGTGGAACTGTAGTCAGAAAATTAAGTCCTGCTAGATCACTTCATGCTGACCCTTTTTGCAGATATAGCTATGTAAAACATTAAAAATAAGTACTATTATTATTATTATACAGGATTTATAAAGCGCCAACAGTTCGCTCAGCGCTGTAGATTACAATGGGAGACAGAACATGCGACAGTACAATAACAATACAATGCGATACACGAGGGGTTCGAGGGCCCTGCTCCTTGGAGCTTACAATCTATACTGTTTAAAATCCAGTAATACGCTATCTCATCCCACTCTGCAAATGCTCAGTTGCTCTCTATTTTAGGCACTGTGCCGAATTTGTAGTGGCCACCTTGCTGACAGCCTAAAGATTTACTGCTGCTCAGGACTCTGGGCAACAATGCTGGAGGCAATTTACAGCACGCACTATTTTGGTAGCATATTTATTATATGCTGGCACATGTGGCCCTTAGAACCCTCTTATGTGGCCCTCAACCTCAAACCAGGGAGGTGCGCTTCTATTATATCCTGCTGTTTTAGTGCGCTTTCCAAAAGCGCACCAACACTCCTGAATGTAGGAGTTTTGGCATGCTTTCAGAAAGTGCACCACACCTACAAGATATATTAGAAGTCTATGGCAAAGCGCAGCTAAGCTGCAGTAAAACCTCAAGTGCACTGTGCTGCACGCACGTTGCGGGTAAACTTCAGCACATCAGTATGAAAGCTTTTTTGAGTTTGGGCAAGGACACAGGGGCCCCATGATCCCCTATTGCCTGGGGGCCCCATGAGTTGTCAGTCCGCCCCTGGTTATACCACATACTTCCAACCACTGGTGTAGCATCAGGGGTCTCAGTAGTGACCCCCGTCTTATGAAGGGGACCCTGTGCTGCCTCACTGTCACATTCTGTTTTATTTTTGGACAGGACCATTTTCCTCCTGCAATCACTGAAAGCTGGCTTCTCCTCCTTTCCCTCCAAACAGCATTCACAGCTGCAGGAGGCAAATGTTCATTATGCTATTCAAAATAAAAAATTCTAAACCATTTAATTTCATTGTGGCCCGCGGCCAGTTATCAAATCACTTAAGTGGCCCTCTCTCTTCGAAAGGTTGAGCACCCCTGTCCTAGGGACACCAAACTATGAATATCGGGTGAATGATCGTGCATTTTTTTTTGCATGCTAGTCTCATATCGAAAGTGAAGAGGTTACTAAAGTTATGAAAATTCTTGTACGACAGAATACAAATTTGAAAGCGATGTAATGTATTGTATTTTCAGATGAAAACTGTACTGATCAAACGGAAATCGTACGATCTGGTATCGTTCAAGAACATTTTCCGTGCTTGTCCCTTCTAAAAATTTTGGACGAAAGCTGTGTACTAACAATCAGGTTACTATACGGTCCAGGGGTGGACTGACCATTTGGAAACTCGGGCACTGCCTGAGGGCCCAGGGTCAGTAGGGGGGCCCCATGAGATGCCCCTGATACCTTTTTTATAGGCTTTTTTGAGTTTGGGCAAGGACACAGGGGCCCCATGATCCCCTATTGCCCGGGGGCCCCATGAGTTGTCAGTCCGCCCCTGGTACGGTCACTTCATAAGCAGTATTTTTCATACATTTTTCTGATCATGTATTCTAGACTCTGATGTGGGTAAGAGATGCAGAAATCTACTGACTCCAGTACTGTAAAATGTTATTTTATCCTGGCCTGACTTCTCAGCTGTACATTCCTTCATTTCATATACCTTAACATTTGGTTTGACTTATGTTGACGCATACAATGTATGTGTGTGGGTGTAGAGGGTAAGTAACATACAGAGCCTAGAAAAATCTATCACATACTTAAACTCAATCTACTAGGTACAAGGAACATCAAGAGGATGCAAATCAGACTACACAAGTCATCCAGAACTGGCAGAAGGAAAGAAGATAAAAGAGAAGACGGGTCAACAGAGTGGAGACTGAAAGCCTTTTCTTACAGACTGCCTGGAGCAACGAGTTTGACCCTGCAAGGGTCACCACAAGGCTCCCCATCCTTGGAATGCAATTCAACCTGATGGTAGCTTGGCTAAAAGCAAACTATGAAGGATTTGAGTCAGTTGTATTCACACTGTTTTATGTTTAGAAGTTTATAAAGTGATGTTTGATGTAACTTTTTACATTTCTGATTAAATCCTCAATTAACATTTAAATAATGTTAAATTAGATTGTAAGCTCGAAAGAGCAGGGCCCTCGATCCCCTCATGTTTTGCATTGTATTGGTATTGTTCTGTCACATGTTCTGTCCCCCTTTGTAATGTACAGCGCTGAGCGAACTATTGGCGCTTTATAAATACTGTATAATAATAATAATAATAATAATAATAAAGGATGCTTCCATGACATTGTGTTTGTAGAGAATTCTGTGATCCCTAACAAGACAAGCCAGCACTAGCCGCTTACTCGATCACCTGTCTCTTTTGCTCTCTTTAATATTCTATACAGAATAATATGAATTAGACACAAGGAGAAGATACAGTCAGCTGTTTCTAAATGGAGCTGACAGCAAGGGATCATTTGACTGGCAAGGAACTTCAGAAAACTTGAAGTCGGCATGAGCAGCACAGTGGCTAAATTGTTAGCACTTCCACCTGGCAGTACTAGGGTCGTTGGTTTGAATCCAAACTTTGGCACCACCTGCCTTGAGTTTGCATGTTCTCCCTGTGCCTCCGTGGGTTTTCTCCGGGACTCCGGTTTCCTCCCACACGCCAAAGACATGCTGGTAGGTTAAATGGATCCTGTCTAAATTGTCCCTACTATGAGTATGTATGATTCTAAGTTAGGGACCTTAGATTGTACGCCCCTTGAGGGTTAGGGACTGATGGGAATGTACAATATATATGTAAAAATCGCTGCGTAAATTGACGACGCTATATAAGTACCTGAAATAAATACTCCAGAGTTCCGTCTCCTGACTGATTGTGGGAAATACAACATAAATATTTAATATTTAGCCGTGAACATAATAAATGAATGAAGACAATTTGGACAAACCCGAATATATTCTCTTTAGTTCTCTTTTAGTTTAGAGGACTTTCCTCAAAGGAAATCTCTGCTCACAGCATACACTTTCATTCCATCAGCAATGTAATACATTGGGGGGGACTGTGTGATTTGGGGGCTCTGTGATGGAGGACTCTTTGGTTAAAGAGAAGGTCTTTGGGGTGCTGTGGGGACTAATGTATAGGATTGAATATTATGTGCTGGGAGGATCTCTGATGTGAAGGGGAGCTTCTGATATGACGTTGAAGTGGAGTTCCACCCAAAAGGGGAAGTTCCGCTTTGTCCCCCTTTCCCAATAAGGATTGGAACCTTTGGGGAGCGGGGGGTACCTGAATCTGACAGGTACCTGCTCCCACTTCCGCTGCGATCGCCTAGGTGATTGGAAGCAGAAGTTGTCTCCCCCTTCCTCCCCATAGTCTTCTGGGATACGTGACAGGTCCCAGAAGACTATGGGGCCATTCACAATGCGCAGAGCTTCTCGTGCATGCGCAGTGGGTACCCGGCTGTGAAGCCACAAGCTGTCACAGCTGGGTGCCCACACTAAAGATGCCAGCACCACGGAGAGAAGACGGCTGGTGGAACCAGCTGTGGCGAGGACACCGCTGGACCAAGGGCTGTATTCAAAAGTCAGCAGCTACAGTTTTTGTAGCTGCTGACTTTTTTTTTCAGCTGGAACTCCGCTTTAAAGTGACTCTAAAAACTCTTTTTTTCTTTGGGAAAATAACAAACATGTTATACTTACCTGCTGTGTGCAGTGGTTTTGCACAGAGCAACCTGGATCCTCTTTTTCTCGGGTCCCCCGCAGGCTCTCCTGGCTTCTCCCTTCTGTCGAGTGCCCCCATAGCAAGCAGCTTGCTATGGGGGCACCCACAACTTCGTGTGTTCATTCACAGACAGAGCCACGGCATGGCCCCGCCACCCTCTCTCCTCATTGGCTGACTGGCTGTGATTGACAGCAGAGGGAACCAATGACTCTCGCTTGCTGTGTCAGCCAATGAGGAGGCAGAAACCCGGGATGGCCGAAACTGTTGTTCACATGGCTGGAACGCGATGAGGCTCAGGTAAGTATTGAGGGGGCTGGGGGAGCTGCTGCACACAGAAGGTTTTTTACCTTCATGCATAGAATGCATGAAGGTAAAAAACCTTGAGTCTTTACAACCGCTTTAATTTCTTCAGAGCAGTTGTGTGCATTGTCCCAGACTCAGGTTTAACATTTACATTTTCTATATTTTAGACTGGGGTGCCTCGAGATTTGCATACTTTTAATGGGTGCGACAACTGAAAAAAAGGTTGAAAAACGCTGGTCTAAGGCAACCTTTCTCAACCTTTGTACCCTGAAGGAATCCTTCAAATATTTTACAGATCTCAAGGAACCCCTGCTAAAACAATACATCTACTGTACGTACGTTAGTGTGGAGCCTCCACAATAAAGTCTCTTATAGTGATATACTGTAGTAACTCCTTCTTGTGTATTATTGCCCATGGTACAGGGAAACAGTCTATCAATATGTTTCATTATATTCAGATATTTTACTGACCAACAAACTTAGTGTTACTAAACCCAGGACCCTGCATTCACTATATCTGGTCTCCCCCAGTACACACAACATGAAAATGCTATTATTTTAGTAAATATAAACTGCTAAATACATTTTCTCACCAGCAGTATATAGCAGTCTTGTGACTTCAGCAGAGCACTGGTTAAAGCTTGTAGGATGAGTTTTCATTCTGCTCTAGGAGGATGCAGGACCCCTGACCTCTGTCTGGACAGTGCTGATTGGCCCTGTGCTTATCAAATGCACTCTTCCACGGAAAAAAAAAAAAACAACCTCTCTAGCAATACACACCAAACTGAGCATGTGCATGTGACTACAGATTCAGTCTGTATCAGGTGGTCATTTCAACAAGAGGAGGGGCAGAGAAGAAAGGATCAAACAGCCTTTTTACACAATGCAGAGAATTAACCCCTTAGGTTCCACAGTGAGTATAACAAGCATGCTTTACTGCATATACAGACTGATTTTACTGTTGTGGATTTAGTAACACTTTAAAGTGGAACTGCACTGCATCTGGGCACCACAAACCAAAAATGCTATTTAATTCATTTTTAATATTTAACGCAAACTCAGCCATCCATCTATGTCTCCATGCTTTATTTTGCTTAGAAATCATTTTGAAAAGCCTCCTTCTGGCATTTCAGGCAGTGGCCATTTTGAGTAAAGGCAGATGAATCATGTATCATTTACTTCCTGAAATCCATCTGCCCTTAGCTCAGGCATAGGCTGAGCTGAGAACCCTCCCTCCGCTCCTGAAGACTGCTGGGTTATATGACATAATTTGCCTAGGCATGGAAACTAGGAAGTAACTGAAGAAATATAAAAAAAAAGTTTAAAACAAGTAAATATGATATACTTTCCTATCCATTTACTATTGCTAGCAGCATACGGTTAAAAATAGTCCTTGTTGATTGACAGAGTGAAGTTTCACTTTAAAGTTACAATTTTTTTTTAATTTGGATAGAAGGGTGAGAGGTTAAAACCTCTGTCAGGTTTTGACCACTGTCAGTGTCCCAGAGATTTACTCTTTCTAATTGTCCTGATCTCCAGCATCAAAAGGAATGAAAGTGAGGATCAAGGCACCAGAACAGGAATAGAGGGGAAATGTTCCAATGTTCCTCTATGGGGCTGTGTTATTTGACTGTCCCTGGGATTTTCAGCTCTTGGTCTCGGCTCTAGAGCTGTCTTTACATAAAGTCGTATTTCCCTTAATGCGAAAGTGGCGCGTTTAGGGAAATATGCCGTATGTGTACGCGTGGGAAAACAGCAATGCAGAAGCAATTGCTTTTACACAAGGATAGCCACAACCAACCATTTATTTCTATAGGCAGCTGAAAGCAGCACCTTTGGCTCTATGGATATGGGAGAATGCTGGGGTTTTTTTACTTGAGGACTTTGGAGCTAATAAGGCTAAGTTCACATCTGTGCGGGTGGTGCTGCTGTGGATCCACATGAAAATCCGTACAGCTGCACCACCCACACAGAAGAACGCAGACCCGCGGGTGGGTGCCATTAGTTTTAATGGCACGCTACCCACACTGGAAATCACAACCGCACTGGGAACCGAGGTTCCCGTGCGGGCTGCGGTTTCAAAAGAAGTGCAAGGGACTTCTTCCCTGCGTGTCCCAGGGTACAGGAGTCCATTCAAATGAATGGGCTCTCATGCCCCCGCAAAACGCAGCCTGCACAGTCGCCTATATGTGAACCAGGGGTTAATGCCCGTGTATATAAGGCCATATGCTCTACTAGCAGCTTGATTCTAAGGCACAGACTCAGGATGGATTCATTATAAGCACACAGTACACCATTTCAGCAAAAAAAAAAATCACAGGCTGTGCAAGTAAAGTGATGATTAGGACCCATCTGGATTGCACTGGCAGGTAGAGCAGCAGTCTATAACCTTTTGTTGTACACTGAAATGTTTTACTGACATTCAGCAACATAGTGTGTGGGTGGCTGTGCGTTGCCCCTGGCCGTCCTGGTGCCCTAGGCCAAGACCCACGTTGGCTGTGCAGAAACCCGGCTCTG